CTTTTTAAAACCTTGTACGAGTTCATTTAAGCTATAGTTGTTATATGGTTATTTATATCATACTACTACATGTTTATGTCGATACATAAAGTGTCTATATACACATGTAAACGACTGTCTTTTACCTTATTACATGATTAAGTATTACGATTGAAAAATTCTGTGATCGTGTACGGAGTAATGTAGTTATTTACGGAGAAAACTGAAACTATACAAAGAACATTTATTTTCCTCTGTAAATCATGGTATGTCTTAGTATGTGACGTGAAAATATAGGATCGTTATATTGAGTCATGTATATCGTTGTTCATCTCCTTATACAGTGGTTTACGATTGTACTTTATTTGACCTGTCTGATCATCGCGTAATAACTTTCATTCTAGGACATATACTAAACAATCAAAATGAGCTGACGAATTTTTATAAAAACTTAATCAATATCAACGCAAAAGTCTTAATATTTTTGATAGTTCATCGTTGTGAATAGCTAAAGTCTGATTGACAAAAACACAGCGCTTCCGATTTAAAAAATCTAGTGAACTATTTTTCATACTACAATTTTTCAATAAAACGTTTATTTAAATCGAATTTTCTATTAATTCAGTAATTGATAAAACTGTTGTCTTCCCAGTAGCTAAGAGCAGGTAATTTTTTGAAGTTTAACATTTATAAGATATTGCATAGAAAGATTCTATTGAGTGTTTTAATACTAATAAAGCAAGAATCTACTATAATAATTTTTAATATATATTTAGGTCGTACACGTCTTGAACCAATTGCTATTGTAATTTTATCTGTTATAATGTGTGCTGCATCGGTTTTAGTTATTTATGAATCTATTAATACAATTGTTAATGATGCACAATATTTTACTGAACAAAATACTACAAAAACTTTAACAGATATTGATATGAGTGCATTACCTGTATCAGTTATGGTTATAACAATTGTTAGTAAAGCAATTTTATTTTTATTATGTTATCGTATTAAAACTCCAACTCTATCAGCATTAAGTTCTGATCATCGTAATGATGTTTGTTCAAATCTTGTTGCACTTTTTTGTGGTCTTATCGGTATAATATAGAAATTATTTGAATGTAATAAAAAAAAAATATATTTTATTTGAAGGTTCATTTGCATATAAAACTACAATAAGTCAAAAAGCTATTGTTATTGATCCTATTGGTGCTATTGTTATTTCATTTTATATTATTATTACATGGATTCGACAAGCTAATGGTTAGTTTAATATACATCATTTTTCTAATCGATTTCTAATTATGTATATTTTCTTTTAGGTCAAGTAAAACGTTTAAGTGGACATACAGCTGATCCAAAATTTCTTTCACAAATAACTGTAAATAGATTTTTTTGTTCTTTTGTTAAAAGAAATATTATTGTGAAACACAAGATCATCACAAACTATATATCAATAGCATCTTGTTATAATATATGAACTATTTTCTTAGTGAAATTTTGAAAGATTAAATAAAAGGATGATGAAAAACATCTGTCCCAAAATCGAAAAAAAAAACCAAATTCTATCTTTCTAATGATTAATAAGAGCAATTAAATCGTATTTCATATGTTATTTTCACAACAATTAGGTTAACAATTTTATTTATTTTGTTATTTTTTATTTCTAGTGGTTAGCATATAATCATTCTCCATTAATTTTAAAAATTGATACTGTACGAGCATTTTATTTTGGTTCATCCTATCTAGTTGAAGTTGATATAGTTTTACCCGAAGATATGTTATTAAAAGAAGCACATGATATTGGAGAATCATTACAAAACAAACTTGAAGATTTACCTGAAGTTGAACGGGTATATTTTTAAATTAAAAAACTTCATTTCTTTCTTTTTTCTACTAAGTATTTTCGTTGTTTTTTTTATTTAATATTTAGGCATTTGTTCATATTGATCATGAATATTCTCATAAACCAATGATTGAACATAAAATTGTTTAAATAAAGCGCGTTGGTCACTTTTTTTTTTCTTTTCTTTTTATTATTATCTTATTTATTGTATTATGTCGTTTATGATCGACGAAATAAAAATAATAATAAAACAAGTTTTACATGAAAAAATAGGTGAAAAAGAATTTATTTATGAATATGTACGTCAATGGAATATTGATATTTTAACTGAAATTTTATCTCGATTAAAAAAAATTCAATATAAAAATACTAATCAACAAATGAAATATGTTGTTACAGTTTTAATAGGTGAAAAAACTAAAGAAATAAAATTTGGTTTACATACAGCTTTATCTTGTTTATGGGATGGAACAACAGATGGATGTGTTACAGTTAAATGGGAAAATAAATATATTTTTTCGATTATTAATGTTTTTGGTTTAACTGTTTGAAAGAAAAATTATTTAAATTCTATTTAGTAAATTCTTATATAATAATATGAAGATGTTTAAGAAAAACAAAAAGATAATAATAAGAGAATACTATCATAGTTGTATATGATCGAATGTTTTACAAGATTAAATTTTGTATAATTTGTTAATAGTGAATGATTTTCAGAGATATTCAGTAATGTTTACTATGAAGAAATTTGATTTTATTTTCAGACTTTTTCAAGATTCTTTTACTGAAAAATAAGATATTTGAATTTGAAGTTCTATATTACAAGAGATTAATGTAAATGGTCTATTTGATTTAAATTAAAAACATATAAGATTTTTCATTCAACAAACTGATTTGATCCTTCTTTTTTTTTTCTCAATAATATCAATGAATTATTGCAAACTTCAATATTCTACATCCAATTCGTCTCTAATTAATGATTGTCCCATGTTAATTATTTCCCACTTGAACTCTGATTAATATTTCAATCAAAATCAATAAGAATAATCATGAAAATTAAAAGTATATATTATTTGTATCTCATGAGATGACACTATCTTTAATTCAAATTCACAAACTAAAGAAAATCGGTCTAATCCTTATATATTCGCTATTCTTGTCGCCATTTATTTGGCACACTTCGTTTTACGATCACTAAAGAAAACTAAAAAATGTTAAATTATTTTGACTTTCAATACACTATCAAACATATAGACAAGATCTGTGTAAAATGACATTGTCAAAACTTAATGTGTTCAAATAGGATACGGGCAAACAATCTTTGTTACTGTTTTCGCTTATTTAGCAACGTAACTTCACAAAAATTACACATATATATCTCAAAATAAGAAATTTTTATATATTACATATATGTTAAGTTATTCTAGAGACCTTGATTCAGAAGAGTTATCAGCAAAAAAACCTTCAAATCAAGGGAATATTTTCGAAACTGAAATGTAGATAACTTCTGAATCTACAAAATTTTTTCTAAGTATGATCTGAAAAGCGTCATATTCATTAATTTGACTAAGTTTCTAAGATATATATATATATAATTTTTTTTTTAAATTTTCAATGATCATGTTGTATAAAAATGACACATTTTTGTTTCTCTCATTAGAATCAAGCCCTACATTTGTAGTATCATTTGTCTATTCGTATTCTTTTTCTCTTTTCGTTTTTTTTCTTCATCATAGATACAGATAGATGAAAATTCTCTTTTTTTTTACAAGGTAAACTAATAGTTGAAATCATACGAAACTTCTTCATCGACACCGCTGTTCGTCATTCTATTATTTACAGTGTATCTGCCTGTTATTTCTCTTTCATTTCTTACATACACATTAAATTGACTATCATCTTATCTTCTTCTCTTTTTTTTTTCATTTATTGTTTGTTCACTGTATTTTTGTTGTTGAAACCGTTGGAATAGAGTAACTACTCTATATTTATGTGTAAGATTTCATCTTAAATAGATTTTAGACAATAACAAAAAAAAACAGAAGAACAAAATCTATAACATTTATTTCTATAATATCGCATTCTATCAGGTAAGTCTGTAATTAATTATAAAGAATTTTTAAATATTAATCGAATAATAGAAATAATCCAAATGTTGAAAACTGAAGAAATACTCTTGATTTGAAACAATACCTTCTTTTTTTGGCTTTATTTATTTCATATAGACAAATCTGTATAATTATGTGTTCATGAAGTCAAGATGACGCACTAGTCTTGAAAAGAATAATTAGCAATTGATCACTTTTTTTTTCTCTTATGCGATATGCATTTGAAGACAAATTTATAATATAACTCAGTCTTGTCGGTTCTCTTTTTTTTCAAATAGAAGGTTTCTATTGAATCGTTAATATGTAAGAACAAATGATAAGAATATAACTTTCATACTCATTTTTTTTTTCACGTGTCCTTGTCGAAGACAACTTTTTAAACAAAACAAAACATATTTTGCATTTCTTTTTTTTTTTCTAAATTTTTCTTTTATGTAAATTTTATTTCGATAGATATTGAAATATCGTTCAACAAAGTACTAATACATATTTAAAGAAAAACAAAAAAAAAATTACTTTCCCTCGTTTTGTTTTTCAATGACAAATATTAGTAAAAAAAAAAAAAAATTATTTTCAAAATTTAACTATTCTAATTCTTTTCAATGACTGATCGATAATATAGGAATCATGATTAGTTGGTGTGATATCATATTGATTCATAAAAAAAGTGCTTATTTTTATTCGTCATCTTATATAATAAATATTTTAATTTTGATTCATCTTTTGCTCATCATGCTGACATCAAAAAAGAGAAGAAAATTTACGTTCCATGAAAAGATATGATAATGACACCATTTGTTCGTTTCAATGAATCACATATTCGCTTAGCATTTTTTTTTTTCTTCTTTTCTCAAATAGTAGCACTACTATTGACATACGTCGCAATGCTTTGTTCTTCTTCTTCTTCTACCTCTCTTTTTCTTTCTCTCTTATTCGTTTTAGATAAACTCATATACGTATCTATATATATTTAGTATACGACCAACGACAAGGGAAATATCTCTATGTGTAAAATATTTTTAAACAATATTGATTACGCTGTAAAACAAATTCAATAATATATTTTAACAATGGCACCTAAACCTGTAAGTTAAAATTAAAAGTGTATAAGATTTTTCTATATCTAATTTCAAGTTATACAAAAAAAAAGATAAAGAATATCAGATAAAATACAATGATGCAATATAAGGATGAATCATAGTTAAATATATCTATGATTTGGTTCTACGATTTGTAAGATTTAATCACCAACAATAATGACTGTGTTGTTAGTTGTTTATGAACTTCTGAATCAATTTTTTCAATATGAGATAATAAAACAACAGCATATTGTTATGAGAGAATGCAGTGAAAGGATTTGATAAGCAAGATATAATAAACAGAAAGACAATGATTATTTGACCGATAGTCTATTTGTTTATTCAAAAACTTTGTTTGCTCTTAATTATATTTAAGTGAGAAAAATTTCATTTATTTGTGAAGAATATCTAATATTACACATAAAATAGATATTATTCAAAGAATTTTATCTTTAGTTTTCTTTTTAATTCTTAGTTTAATGTACATGTAACTTCAGTAGAATTTGAATTTGACTTTACTCTCGATCAGAATAGTATCGGTAAACAATTATTTGATCAAGTAAGAATTTATAATTATAAATTTTAACATCTTATATATTTAACAATTATTTTTAGGTAGCTAAAAATATTGGTCTTCGTGAAATATGGTTTTTTGGTCTACGATATATAGATTCAAAAAATGTTACTTGTTGGCTTAAACTTGATAAAAAAATTCTTTCTCAAGATATACAAAGAGATAACAAACAAGTAGTACAATTTGAATTTCTGGTTCGATTTTTTCCTGAAGATGTATCAGAAGAACTTATTGAAGACATAACTCAAGTATAAAAAAACAAAACATTAATTTTACTTAGAACAATCTAAAAAGTATCAACATTAATATTCTATTAATTTATAGAAAATTTGAAGAAGTTATTAACACAATTTCTACGAGATTAGAATGTAAAATACAATATAGTTGCAGTTGCTAAAGATCTCTATAATGATCTCTAATTAATGTCTGTTACGATCTATGATAAAAGTAGAGTTCGAATTTTCACTTCTATACTTCAACACTTCTTTCAGATCATATTGTACGAAAAACAGAGTACATAATAAATTAATTTCAACTTTCGATCATGTGCTTTAGAGATGACTTTATGTTTTTTAATAATAGTGATATAAACAGAAGAAATGAAACACTGTTTGATGATAGTGGTGTATCCAGGATTTTTCGGTATGCTAAATTTCACTTTCAGAGCATGGGACCCAGATGAAATTTATAGAGCTATGATATTGGACCCAAATGATGAGTTTTTATCAAAAGATTTTTGTAATGGGAGTTTGCGAAAAAAATTAGCATTTTCCTGAGTCCCACCAAAATTTTTTTTTGCTGTTAGTAGTATTCTGATTTTTAGAATTGAATAGTAAGCTACATCAAAATTCATTGACAGATTTCAAATTTCATTTAGAAATATGCATCTGTTCACGAGTTATGATGTTTTTGGAAATTTGCTGCATGCTACTAAAATTTTAGAAAAAACTCAAAACATTGTAACTTGTGAACGGATGCATATTTTTAGATGAAATTTGAAAACTGTTGATGAATTTCGATGTAGCTTACTATTCAATCATAAACGTCAGGATACTACTAATAGCAAAAGAAAAATTTTGGTGGGACTCAGGAAAATGCTAATTTTTTTCGCAAACTCCCATTACAAAAATCTTTTGATAAAAACTCATCATTTGGGTCCAATATCATAGATCTATAAGTTTCATCTGGGTCCCATGCTCTGAAGGTGAAATCTAGTATACCGAAAAATCCTGGATATGGCACTAATTTTGAACTAGGCAGATATTGATTCTGTAATACAGTGATAGCTAATTATTTCTAATTTTCTTCGCCTAACGAAGAAACTTTTCCTCCATATCATAATTTCATACATAATTCTTTATAAGTTCTTGTGAGAAAAATCAATATGCAAATAATAACTATCGTTATTGAAAAAAATATGAATGATACTATTTCTAATTTTTTAAAGAAATCAAAACTTGATGAATTCTTTTCTTTGTAATTATATATTTAAATCTTGATAAATTTTAGACTGTTCAAAGTAATATTTTTCTTATTGTTATTGTTTTAAATGAAGAACTTTTGTATTTTAGAGATTATTTTATCGTCAAGTAAAAAATTTAATTCTTTCTGATGCAATTTATTGTCCAGCTGAAACATGTATTCTACTTGCTTCTTATGCTATGCAAGCTAAACATAAAGATTATAATGAAACTAAACATCAGCCAGGAGTGTTAGCTAACGAACGACTTTTACCTGACCGTGTTCGAGAACAATTTCATTTTTCAAATGATGAATGGGAAAAACGTATTATAAATTGGTGGAAAGAACATAAAGGATTAACTAGGTAAGAAAATTCTCAAGAAAATAATAGATTGAACAATAAGAACATCATGACCGTAGAATTCAAATTAAGTAAAGAAGCAGATTTTGAATATACTTTAAACTCTAGAAAAAAAACAAAGTTTGTTGACGTTCGATGGATAAAATAGAATAGATACAATAACAAGTTGAAGACTACATAAATAAAATTGATTGAAAGCTTCTAAAATTTAGAATATTAATAATGTTTTTCTTATTTGAAAATTTTTCTATAAACTTACAATATGAAATCATATTCTGTTCTTCTTTGAATTATGAAGTGGGCAGAAATATATTAAAATATAATATTTAAAGTTTGCAACAGTTCTTTATTATTCAAAATAATCATATTCTATGCTTTGTAGTTGTCTCGCTAAGGTCTTACAACATCTTCTGTAGACTTATGAGAGAAATATGAGTTTTACAACATAATTATTATTATCGATAGTATAATCGTCAAAGAAAAAATAGCTTGCTGGAATCAGTGAAAAAAATTTTCTAAGTCTTATCGTATCCTACAACTACCATGGCTAAGCGATTGTGTTTTTCGACACATATCTACAAAGTACTGTATGCAAATCTCATTACTATCCAACATGGAATGATCCTAGAGAACGTGGTCGGTATCTCTTGGACAAAAAAAAGTTTCTTTTTCCGATTCATTGCATTAAAAAACCAAAATACACCAGAAGAAGTTGCAGCGTAAAAATCTCTATAATCTACAAAAGACAGCTTATTATATAATTGCATTTTTCGTTTTGAAAATGGACGTAAATTCTGAGTCACTAATTTTTTGACATTTCGAAAAAAAAGACTAATTTTTTGGTTGACAATAAGTTCTTTTTCTTATATTATCAATTAATAAATCAAGATACATCAATTTCTTACACTGACTATTTCTCATAATAGAATTAATTTATATTAGAATATTGTTCATATTTCAGTAAATCTTCATTAGACATAAAATATATTACATGCATTGATGTTTTTTTTTTCTAGAGAAGAGGCAATGCTTGAATATCTTAAAATTGCTCAAGATCTTGATATGTATGGTGTAGATTATTTTGATATTCAAAATAAAAAAGGTACTCATCTTTATCTTGGCGTCGATGCACTTGGTATTAATATTTATGATATACAAGACAAGTAAAAAAAAAAAAGCAAAAATACACTAAAAATGATTATTTATTTTATTTTATTTTTTTTTCATTTGAATTAATTTTTTGTTCATTAAGATTAACACCGAAAATTGGTTTTCCATGGAGTGAAATACGAAATATTACATTTAATGGAAAAAAATTTTTAATCAAACCAATGGATAGAAATTCTCCAGATTTTGTTTTTATTGCAGAAAGACTTCGTATTAATCGACAAATTTTATCTCTATCCAGGGGTAATCATGAATTATATATGCGTCGTCGAACAGCAGATTCAATGGAATTACGACAAATTAAAGCTCAAGCTGAAGCAAAAAAATTAGCTATTATTGAACATCGGTATATTTAAATGAAAAATGAAATTTTTATTATTATTATTATTATTAATTTATTTTATTGTTTAATTTTTAAGAGAACGAACTAAATCTGAAATTGAACTTCGTAGACAAGTAGAACAAGAACGTGAAGTATTACATAAAAAAATTCAAGAACTTGAAAGAAGTGCGCAAATAATTAGACAAGGTTTGTAGAATAAAACACATACTTTTGCGTTTGATTTATTTTAGAAAAACCACCACGATTATTTGCAGAATCTTCTGAGTCTGAATGTAAGATGATGTTCGGAAAAAACAAAATGATTCTTTTTTTTTTGTTGATTATTGATTATTAGTTTTCTAAAGCTTGTTTAATAATTATTTTTCTTTATATTGTTGTGATTGTTGCTTTGTTTTTTTTTTGTTTTAAGCACTTGAAGATCAAAATGATACAAATAAACAATTAGAAGATAAACGTCGACAAGTTGAAGAAACTGAATCACGTTTACAAAGAGAACGAGAAGAAGAAGAACGAAAACAGGAGAAAACGATGCAACGAATGCAATATGAACAACAAGAAAGAGAAAAAATGGTATGTTGAATCTATTAAACTGAGGAATATGAATGTGGAATAATAAAACTTGACGGCTAGTGCAAAAATATTATTTTTCATTTGTCTTAAAAGCAGTTTTTTTTTTGAAAAATTTTTATTAATAACGACTTAATATAAAAGTAACATATTTTTTTTTTATTACATTAGGGTTAGTTTGTAATAGAGCCTGATTGTTGAATTTCTCTTTCGCTAAAATAAAAAAACTTAGATCTTTAATAGTAATTAGCGACTTTTGTTTTTTTTTTGGTCACGAATTAAAGAATTTTTCGAAAACGTTTTTTTTTTTGTCTTAAAACAAACAGAGAAAATATCTTTTTATTTGATACTGTATAAGGCAAAGTTATTGTAGAATCTATCATTTTTACAAACGCTTTTAAAAAATACATAAGAGTGATGCTTCATCTCGATATAGTTTTGATTTTGTCATATGCTTCAGATGTGTTCCGATGCGAACTTTAGTTAGATATTTGATGCTTGTTTCGATCTGTGAATTCATTTAAGATATAATTTTTTTTTTTATTTTTAAATTAATAAATATATATACTCATAAAGAATTTTCCTTATTTGCTATGCAGGATTTTCAGAATAATTATAACTATCACAGCAGAATTCTGGAATTTGTTAAGATTCAAACACCTTGATTTACAATATCTCAGATGAGATAGTAGAATAGATACATCTAAAGAAAAAGTCTTTCGAATGTTATGTTTTCTAAGCGATGGAAAAGATATGTGTTTTCAATCGGTACGATATAAATTAATAACTGTATTAACATTTTTTAATTTCATGTTTTCAGGAATTATGGCGTTTGAACAATCCTGTTTGTTTTTGGGTATAAATATTTATATCACTTGTATAGAGTAAAAGAGCATGATGCACATAATAGAAAAATAAAAAGAAGCATGTATAAGAGACAAAACTATGAAAAGAAATGTACAGAACAATTTGTAGTTCGCTTATTTCTTATTCTTATGCCAATAGAAGAAAAAAGAAAAATTCATAAAAAAAACATTTTTTTATGTATTATTTCAAAAGGTTCAAGAAATCGAAAAAACTCGTTTATTAGCTGAAGAAAATGCACAAGAAGCTCAACGAAAAGAGAATGAAGCTCGTCAAATTGAAGAAGATTTACGAGAAACACAAATGAGAGTAGGTTTTTATCCAATTTGCTTTGCTTTCTTCTTTCAATCGCAACAAAAAAAATGTTTTTCTAGTCTTCTTGAAATCTATAATTAATTCTTCTTATTTAATTAGTGTTCTTTTGTGGGATATAAATCAATGATCTTCTTCTCCTACTACTATTCATAGTAGAGTCTTGATTTTAGGGGATAAGCAAATCCACATTATTTTTTAGAATTAGAATCCCCCATCCAAGGAATAAAATAAGTAAATGAATGATCCATATTTCAAATTTTTCTGTCAGTTGGAATAGGAATTGGAGCTAATGGCTTTTTAGGGATTGGTATTGGCCATCTCTACTTATGTAAAATTTCGTAATATAAACGTTCTCAACTTATATGACATTCAGAATATTCCAATATTTTGTTTATATAGCGGATTGATCATGCTGTAGTCTAAATCACAACATGGAAATCAAATATAAGGATTCTAAAAGTTAAAAGCATACTTATGAACGTTTTTCAACATAAGTATGTTGAAATTTGGCATTACTATCCATGAAAGCAGTGTTATTATTATTAATCGAGTATTTATTCAACGAAATCGCCAAGATATGAGGAGTAAGAGCACCATTACCACATTGTAAAGCATTCGATTTTATTGTGAAACACATATAGATATTTTCGAAAAAAATATAGTGAGTATAAGTCTCCATCGAGGTTTTTGCGAATCTTCTAGGCCCAAGCGATCGTATGTGGAAGAAGGAAAACCAGCGATCATTGTCTGTTTTTTCACAGCAGCGTGAAAAGTAAAGTTTAAACATCAGAAGTCATGTACATATGGAATTCGAAATCATAGAAATACGCATTCTAAAGTTGACCATCTTTAGGTTCTTCAAGCTCAAAAACAACATAATAATAATAATCATAATACAGAATCATACGAAGACGATCAAAATCCTGTCGGTGATGCCGACACTGATGAAGACGACAATAGCATAGATCATAATGAAAAAGGTAATTAAAACTAAATAAATTGTTTTTTTTCTTTGTTTCTATTTTTCTAAGTTTAGAACTCGATACACATGAATATGTATCACATCATGAAGAAGAACGTACACCTATAATATCAAGAGATCAAAATAGAAAACAAAAACTTGAAGTAATTAACATTATTAGTTTGTGCTGCCCTTTTCCTCTCTGTTGTTTTTCACTAATTGATTTTTACGTGCTTTTGCCTATACTGCTGCTTTAGTCTCTCAAAGATAAAACAAATACAAAAAAAAAGCATGTCAGTGAAGAACTGAATTTATTTTATCTTCAATATTCAATTCAAATGTCAGGAGTTGAATACCACTCGAATTGAACTATTACACTTTATTTTGGCTGCACGCAGCTGGCTCATAATTCGATATATCTTTTCATTTAAAATAACATAGTTCGATGGTATGTACAATATGAAGACATCAATGACAAAGTTTTCTCAATATTGAGTTGTGTAAGAGGCGATCCACTTTGAATTATATTTCATTGGATAGGCGTTGCAAAGCTCTAGAAAATAGTACTATTCTGTGAAGGTTAATGTATCGGTAAGACATTCTATCACAACGAATGATATATTTAGAATTAGAATAAAAAACTGCATCGATCTATATGTATTATAATATTCTTCGACAGTTTTGATATGCGTTTGAAAATTTAGTCCCAGTCCACTTTAGAGTTGTATTGCAAAATAAAATCAGTCAAAACGTTAGTTTTGACTTTAATAAGTTACTGATAAATTTTAGAAAAATCTAAGAAGATTCAAAATGGCAGATGAATAAATAATGAAAGTAGTTATTTGACTAACTTTATTTTTTGAAGTAACTCTGAGGTAGATTATGGCTGAATTTTTAGACGAAAATAAAAGTTGTCGAAAGATATTTTGACACACATAGATTGACTCAATTCTTTTATACTGATTTTAAATATATCATTTGTTTTGTGATTGGAAGCCTGATTATTGTGGCTTCCCCATATATTAAGCCCTACAAAATAGTATCAGTTTATAGAGTTTTGAAAAGCCTGTCGAATGATATATATTTATATATATAAGTCAAAGTGGACTACTGCTTTTACAGCTCAATAGTAAGAGAGCTTAGTCATGGATGTTCTCATTTTGAACCAACTGTGCACAGCCAGAACGAAATGTAATGATTCAATTTGAGTGACATTCGACTCTTAACATTTAAATTGACACTGGAAGAAATAATATATTCAGTTTTCAGAAGTTCCAATTTCATCCCTTAACGATCTCGTTCCTCTATAGAAAACATGCCGTTGTTTGCTTTGATTTACAAAGTGCGAATTGATTTTCTATTCACTGTTTTCTTGTTTGTACAAAAACTAATGATGCTTTATTATAATCAGTCAAAAACCTCAATGTATGTTTTTTAGTCTTTACTCTTTACAATAAAACACATCGACGAATCTATTATTTTCTCACTTTATTGATACTTATTTTGAATGGTTTTTATATTTAAATTATTATTTTATTACTATAGGAAGAACGAAGAAATCTTCAGCAACGACAACAAAAGGCTGATACACCTGAAGATAAGATCTATCGAGAGAATACTATTGACAGAGGTATTGATAAATATAAAACATTGAAAAAAATACGTCAAGGAACTGGTAAGTAATTTGTATTTTTGTTTAAATAATTATTTTATTGTGAATTATTTTTCTTTTAGTTAAACGACGTATCGATGAATTTGAAGCTATGTGAATGATGACGAAAATTTTGTGTTTGGGTATTTGTTTAAAAATATTTCCATTCTTTTATTATCTTATTTTTTTTATACTGCTATTTAATCATTTTTCTTCTTGCTTTGATATAAATAAAATTGATAATGAAAATACTAAAATCTAGCTATCGATTTTTTTTAAGTAAACTTTCTTGTTAAGACTAAAACATAACCAATTTAAAATTAGAGTTTAACTTCCCTCTTGGTTATTCCATTAATTAAATTTTTTAAGATATAATAAGACGAATTAATCAAAAGATTTGTGCCATGTAGAATTCGATGATGACGACTCGAATTATCGACTTATACAGTGTTTCAGAACACGATGAGTTACCAATAACTCATTCGAACTATGTCAGATTGATCTATGTCTCGAGATGGTACAAACGTTTTTGAATCTTTGATACGAATCTTCTTTCATGTTCAATAAGTTCCGCAAAACAATTACTTTGACGATTTAGCCTCCATCTGTATCTAGGATAATTATAAGTGGTGAGCCAGTCCAGAACTAACTAAATCGTCAGCTCTTATGTTAACTAAAATTCGATTGCCGAACTTTGAGAATGCTTTGCAGCACATTTTTGTAGTCCTTTATGAATTTTTTTTTATTTACTAGACATAAGCATCGAAAGTTATCATTTTCTTTTATAATGATCTCGAGAATGGAGAATCAGAAAATATACAGATAGACGGTTTTATACTGTTTCATTTACATATCGAAGAAGATTAAATTTGTTTTAACAGCGTAGATTTGTAGAGAATTTTTTTTTCTTTCGAAACTCTTATATCTGAATTCAAATCAGATTATATTTGTCAGTTTGTGATTATGAGTGAAATTAGATTGTGACTGAAACGAAGTCTATTAGCCACATCCACACCTTTTTGATACAAAAAAAACCAGTGACAATCGGAACGATTACTATTAAGAACTTATCAGTATTTTGTTTTAACAGCACATATATTTGTCGGGTATGGTTGCCGGTATGGATATGAGTGATGGTTCTATATACATCTGATAGGCTTATGAAGAAATCGTTAGAAATACAGTCACAATTTGTTTCATCTTCATCCACATCAACTACTTACGATTTGAGACATTAATAAACATAAAGTCTCAGAATATGTCTGAGTCAGTACATTAGTTATAAAACGCTATTTGATCTTTTTAATGATTGTCAGAATATGTTCAATGATATCTAAATTGTAGTCACTGTCATTCAAAACAGCATATTGTGAAATTTGATTTTCGTACTCATATGGACCATCTTAAAAGATTGGTTTGTCCCTGTACGGATTACGTAATAAATAAAACTGTTTTTTCTGAAACGTGATCTAAAAGAACGGTTGAAGTATATAGGGGTAATTACTTAGATCTTCCCTTCTCCTTGTACAGAGCGTGATGAACGTTTTTTGCTTAACAATTAAAGACCATATAGCACTAACATCTCATCAGAATACATCAATTACTTTCAAATTGCTGTTCCAGAGGATTAACTAAATGATGATGAGGAAATATGTTCCATACAAGATCAAATAAAAGAATTTTCATGTAAGCAGTTACAATAGTTACATCGTGTTTCACATTTTAATAACACAGGGATTTTGCTAACTACTTTTTTTTGAAGATATTCTTTTATTCTTGTAATTTAAATGATTTTTATATTTCAAGCTCAAGTCAACACTGTGAAAACAGTTGTCTGTAGGATATTTTTTTTTAAGTGCTCGCAAACTGAAGCTGTTTCAAGAACGAACAGTTGGATGCATACAAAGCAGTTTGAGATTAGAACGATTATCCAATGGTAGAGCGACAAGCAACATTTTGTTTAATACATGTTTACCTACATTAACCTTGTCGACAGTAACCTTTTATTCGTAGATAGCTTCGATTTTATGTGGTTCGAGATGGCGATTCCATACGCTAACATCTTCGACTTCTCCTAACCAAAAATTAAGCCAGAAAGATTTGACTCCAATATGTAAGGTGTGAGGTAGTTACATTTTTTATTCCTTCCAATTTTTAATCATTTTCGTTTACATAAAGTGTTGGCTTGAAACGAGAGACGAGTGCCATCAAATGAAATCCTTTATTTCTTTCTAAATGCTCGCTAGTACATTCAAACTGAATTAGAGCTGGCGAAATTATAACTTGATTCTCTGTCTTATAATAATTGCTGTGACCAAGGTGAAGCCAATGATTATTATCTGGTTTCCATGCTCCTATGGCAGTACGATGATCATACGTCATGCGGCTGGTACATAGCCAGATCGCAGCACAGAAATGATCTGTTTGATAAAAAGGATGATCATATACGGGAATGTCAATGGAAGAACAATCATCAAAGCGAGCACAAAACCCTAGAAAGCATTTGCCTTGTCGTGACTGACCTGTAAACGTATAACGATCCTAGACAATTCCTGATGAGTTATGATCGAGATTATTTGCATTCTCAAATTTCTAGTGACCGACAAAATTTCATCGAGTGAATTCCCGAAATCGACGTTGCTGGAATTACGTATCCAAAATGATCGATCTCCATCGGCGACAAGTATGTGAAATGAGTAGAAGTTTCTTTAATGAATCGATGTGTTAGATAATATGAACTACAATTTCAGGAGAAAAATTGGTAAGTTCTGGATTCGAACTTACCATTTGGTAGGCTATGCATAAGAATCAGTAAGAAGAAATGACAAATATTAGCTTCTGTGAACTAAACTCTTCTATTTTATTTCTTTTCCATCTAGTATCGAAAAATTTCATTATACAGCTAGTAAATGCAGAAAACAGTAAGGGACACATTCATAACTTTTTTTGCGAGACTCTGAATATTTATTATTCTTGTTAACTCTTATTGATGTTATTTAGGCATGTTCTTTGTCATTTCATTCTTCTTTGAAATCTATAACATTAGACCATTTCTCCTACCCTCTAGACTACGTTTATCGTAAAATGTTTTCTTTCTTTCATTCCTATTTCTTCGAGAACATTATAACTATCAAACAAAAACGCAGAAAGATATACTACACATCTTACGACACAGGTTTGAAAAAAATTTCACTTGGTGATTTTCCTCATAAAGATATCTGAGAATAAAAATCCGCTGTTTTTGAATAATTAGTTTTGTTATTCAGTTGAATCGAGTTACGAAGAAAATAGTACGCACGTGTCACTTGATATTCCTGCAGCTAATGTCTGGATAATCAAGTTTTTTTTTAAAACCATGAATAATGAAAAATGTCATCATTACTGAAACCGTATGACTAATTTTTGCGTCTGAAACATGCATCATTTTCAAAACTTGACTTTTCGTTCAACATAGACTCACATCAATCAACAACGTTGTTTTTTATAATGTAAATATTAGACGACATAATGTCTTTTTTGATATTCCTCAAATGTTGAAAAGTCTGTGTTTTGACTGTCCTTGATCAAAAACAAAATCGTACAAAATAACCCACACCCACATTACTCATTTGGTACCTGTATGTATTGTGGTGTGGCTCTGTATTCACTCACTCACACCCCATATATACACTCAAGTGGCTCTTCATTCCCGATGTGTCAATTCCAAACATCTTTTGAATGCACTCTTTTCTTCAGTCGCTCAAAAACAAACAGAATTTATTTCTTCATTGAATATCGTATACGGAATTGATGTTTGTCTTTTTCATGAGGACCTAAATTGATAAACAGATTGCTCAACTGAAAATCGAGTTATGTGCGCATCTTTTGTTTATAGTCATCATCTATCAGCATTGAATATCTAGTTTGATCAAGACAATAGCAAGAAATAATTTGATTTCGTTGATAGTCCAATATTGACCAGGACACATTCGTGATTCCGAACCGAACAAAACTGATGGCAATACTTTAGATTGTTGTTTGATAAAACAATCATAATGATACTCGTAAAGATGATCATAGATTTAAAACGTGAAATAACAAGATCATCAGGTAGGATAAATCTTCAAAACTGACTTCTGGATGAAAATATTTGAGAATAGAAGGATAGATAACAATATCATTTTTTTCTCATACCGATCTGTGTGCCATCCGTGCATGTCACAGTGATATTTTTCTTGGTCTGTCGTGATGTCATCGATGGTGATATACGTCGCCTAGCCTCTTGAATATAACTATCCAATATATGTAATTCATCAAGAGTTTCTTTACTGTATAGTGATATAAGACTTTTGACTATAGTAGTTAATTCATTATTCACTGCTTCGAGCACATCACGATGCAAAACTAGATCAACAAAATCCCAACAAACAGACGGTACTGTATTGATGATAGCAGCTCAGCGAAATAGCGTATGTTGTCCTGCTCTATCCCATTCGCTGAAGACTTATTGATCATCGAGATTTGCCATTGATTCTATTCGGACGAGTACAATTTTACTCATATCATCCTTGGATTTCAAATCTAGAAATCTTTCAATAAATTGATTACGTTGACGAATAGTTGAACGAAGAAAAAATGATTTGAACAGTATATCAAGCATCATTGTATCAATGACCGCTTCAAAAGTTCCACGTGAAACATAAATATCCGGTTGAGATCGAGCAAATGTCTTACCGTAGGGAACTGTAACTGCAGTATCAAAGATTATCTCACCGAAATTGTCGAAAAGATTGACTATTTCACATGACGATGATAATGATCGATCTACAGTGAGATGTTTGATCAAATATTCACATGTTTTATGATTTAACATGACTAACTCTTGATCATAGAGATATTCGTGATATTCTTGTAAAATAATACGTTTTGCCTCTTCGTTTTGAATACATTGCCAGCGAATACCACTACCATTATGGCTTATTCCCTCTACTGAAAGACGGGTCTTACGAAAAATGAGTTGTTACGTTCGTTCGTTCGCACAGGAAGAGAAAATGTTCTTTCGACCTTTCGCAAGCTGGAAACCTCTGTGAGCCTAACAGACTTCGTCGCAGAGATTCGTCTTTTCCGACTAAAGTTCTACTGAACAGCCCAATTAGATGTTTCCTGCGTCCGCACTCAACCCATAGGGTTTCAGAAGGTAGAAATTGAGCCAATCAGATGTTTTCTGGTTCCGGCACTACATCAATAGAATGTCAGGAGGCAAAAATTTAGCCAGTCAGATGTTTTCCGAGCCCTGCTCTGAACCAATAGGATTGGGTGGGCTCGGATTATGGGGAATCCCAGCTCAAAAATCAGTCATAAGATCTTGGAATCAGAAGTCTAACCGTGTATGATCTTGTAATATCAGACGCTAATCGTGCGAGAAATTTTCGTGTCTACAAAATTTATATCAAGTCTTGATCTACGATTCTTCCAAGACCACCCAGGTGGAGAAATCAGACCCAAAGATCAATGACAGATTCTTGTAAGTCCGTATCAGATATTACAGTGATATCGTACCTAATCCTATATGATCATACGAAAAATCGTGTGGAAAATCGTCATGTCTGCAATTTTACATCAGATCTTACACTAAGATTCACATATGAGCGAGCCGTACGATCTTGCATGATCATACACGACCGTCTAATAGGAATGCAAAAGATTTCTTCATAGTCCGACATTATTCACATCACTGATACTGTCGAATATTGATAAGTGAATCGTAATTCAAATTAACTTCTCATTCTAAAGAAAATGTTCATCTGTAAACACACTTATCGGTATTTCCAGCTAAATATAATCTTCTGACAGCTAGACCTCAACAACCTGGTACCACTTGAAATCGACAGAGAGCGCGAAAAAGTTCACAATTTAAGCCTGTAATCGCGAAGGAAAACAGTCATGAACATAACATTCAATTCCAATCCTCATAAATAGGTCAATCTATCAAAACTCGCATGGATATAGTACTTCATCAATACCCTTTTTCGGTACACTACTCTACCTATGCTCTTGTGCGTATATCCTTCTACCTCTATCCTCATAGATATATCACTCTACCGATACTCTTGTGAGAACATCACGCTACTTATATCCTCATGGATATATTACTCCACCTATCCCCTTTGAAGTATATCACGCTACCTGTTTCCTCATGAATATAGCACTCTACCTTTAGCCTTGTGAATATAAGACGTCACGTATATCCTTATAGATATATCATTCTGCCTATGGTGTTATAAGTGTATCCCTCGACATGTCTCATCGTAGATATATCATCCTGCCTATACTCTTGCGAGAATATCATTGTACCTATATCCTCAAAGATATGTATCATTCTGCTTATACTCTTTTGAATATATCATTTTACCGATATCCTCATAAGTATATCACTCTTCCTATACTGTTGGGACTCTATCACTGTACCTACACGGATGTGGGTGTGGGTGTGTGGGTGGCTGTTCTTCTCATTCACACGCACACGCACCCACACCCACCCACACCCACACCCACACCCATAACCAATGTTAGTAATATCAATAATAAACATCTCATGAGTCTAATTACAAATAAAATAATTTCATTTACTTTTGAAATAAACTGAATCCAATAAGTAGAACTGCATTTTATGACCCTATCCTTCAATAGAGGTGGCATATCTACTTTAGTTTTTGAATAAGTAAATTAAATACTTACTTTCTAATTTAGCCGAATAAATATATCGAAATAAAACGTCTAGATTTTCGTTTAGACAAGTAAATCATATATTTATCTGTTTGGAAATGATGAACCGATGAGTATGAGAATAATCAACACGAGAACGTTGACCACCGATAAGTTAAGTATGCAGGAAAGGGTACGTGTGGACGTGCAGATGAATTTCTATGAAAGAAAGAAAAACACGCAGCTACGTCCTAAATCCCCGTACACTCTGAAAGTCATCTGTCACAATTTGAAAAGGAGGGATAGGTACAGATTTCTTTTCCGATACACTTCAACAACAATACCAGATCGTATTTTACAAAATGTGCTGTTATATATTTGTAGTAGACATGTATGGTACGAAGATTTTTTTGTCCCGGTACCGATCATATTTGTTTTTCTGTTGTCCATCTCAGTTTCAATAAAATTGTTACAGAATTTATTAATGTCACATCTAAAATAATACTTAAATACTACGTTTTTTTCTTAATTTCTTTGGTTGATGATAGAGATATGTGATACCAAGGGGTTTTGGTTCAGCACATCTCTAATTTCTATTCATGAATAACAATTTTGTTTTTGCTCATCAAGATTATTAATTACAAGGAGATTCAATCTATTATTTTTTCTTGTTCAAAATTTCATCTTTCATCTCATTAAAATATACATTTATTGATGAGTCAATAAACTTCATATTTATCTTATTCATTTTAGCATGCTCATCATCCCAGTTGCTGGAAATTATACAGTTCATGTTTTTTTTCCTACTTACAAGTACTTATAAAAGAAGTTGTCTTATAGATAGTGGGAGGATCATTTCGACGAACTTTTATTGATTTTTGGCGATTTGATAAACCGTTAGCATAAGTAATGAACGAATCATTCAATTATTATTAATATTATATTTAATAATTTCTGCTAACACTTATTTTCATTTAAAATTAGGTTCTAAAAACAATTGAAGCAAAATTAATGCCATCGAATTTCAATTCATTTCGGTCAGAACATGTTTAATTCAACAGAATACTTGAATCTTATATAAACATCACTACAGTTTTTTGTTGGCTCGAAGAATCGGATTTCATAAATAATTTATCGAAATGATTGAGTTTGATTTTTTTTCCGCTGTTGAAAAACCGAGTTCCCGCGTTTTAGTGAAATACTATAATCATAATTATTTTCTTAAAACAAGTTTTTGGTCATGAATAAAATGGAACTCAAAAATTTCGATAAACTATACATCTATTGAAATTAAAGAATTCTCAAAAGCTTTGATCAAGTTTGATCCTACTCAAATAATGTGTAATGTATTTTTAGCCATTTTGACTTTTTTTCCCTTAGAATCTGATTACTAACACAAGTACTGCTGTTTGTTAGTAAATGATGAACCGATATATTTATTAAATAATTAACAAAAAAGATAAATGATAATTTATAACAGACGAAAAAATACAATAAAAGAAAAAAACTAAAGATAATAAAAGAGTGACAACCCAGTAGAATTCAGAATACTATCGGCTTATGTATATGGAAATCTGTCTTTTTTAAAAGAAAAATTTCAGATAGATTGTCTTTTTTTTTTTTCAAGAATTAACATTAAATAATTATTTAATTTTTCTTTATTGAATGATACTAAATAAAACAGAAAAAAGCGTTTACAAGATTTTAAAATGTTTTATATGTTGCCTTATATTTTGTCTCTGTTGTATCATTGTGCTTGTGTTGTTATTGTGGGGATTTTGAAAATACTTCGATATTTTTTCTGTTGAAACAGATATTGTCCCAGATAACGACGTAATTGGTGGTGCTACAGGTGATGATGATGATGCAGCAGCTGATGATAATGGTGATGTGATCTTTGATTTTAATGTTTGATTATTGCTATTGTTATTGATTTGTCTATCACTAAATAAAAAGTAATAGCATAATAATGAATATATTTAAAATTTGCATTCGGTGAGACTTACTGTGGATCGTCTTCTTTTGTCATTGTTTCATCATTTTTTCGAGGTAAAACATGTATATTATTAATTGTTCGATGAAAATAGTTCAAGATTGTATTCGTGCATGACATTTTGACTTTTTCTTCTTTTTTTTTGTTGATTACTCTTGAACTTCGACCTGATGTTGATGACATGTTTTGTACTCGAACAATACTTGTAAGAAAGATAAGAATAAAAAAATATTTTGGTCTGATTAATTCATAAAATGCAATTACCTTTTATATGACGAACAATTAAGAATATCTTTAGCTTTTTTACTCAATACGGCCGACGATGATGATAAGATTAAATTTCTGCAGCTTCGACGATATAGAGCCCAAGACATTCCAAGTTTCCACAAATTTTTAGAGTAAAATTGTTCAACTTTGTCGACCTCAAGTGCCTCTGGTAAAACTTTAACATAGAGAGATGTCAAATTATTTCCAGATCGAATTCCATTGTTCAAACAAATTAGAATACCCATAGTAACTAATTCATTGAGAAGTGATTTCAAAAATTGATAATTATGTTTGAGTTTTGAAATGGATTTCGTTAGCTAAGGGAAAAAAAATCAACCAATCAAGAGTTATTTGAGAAACAACGTATAATTTTTCAACGGAAAAAGTTTTTTTTTATAGGGGAATAGCTTAAGAGATCTGTGTTCCGAATTAATATGATTTATTTCTTAGACTTTTCTGCTTTCTTCGGGAAAATATACTTTTGTCTCAGATGACAAATATTCGGCTATTTTTTGTGTCCTAGCTTTTTTCCAATACGTTAAAGAGCTAGAATAACAACAAAATACGAAAAAGCTAGTGATTCTTCAAAGTATATAGGATATTATTAAAATCAAGAAAATTATCATTTTCATTTTTTCCACCAAATGTCTGCCTTATTATTCGTTATGTTTTAGGATGTGGGTGTGGATGTGATGAGAAATCTACACCCATACCCACACCCCACACTCACAGCAAAAATATACACAACGGATTCTCAATATGTTCGTATTATAACTAATAACAATCAGTTTGTTTTTTCTTCCAAAATCATGTGATACTCCTTCACAGAAATCTTCGGTCTCGTAGAAAAATCAACAGAAAGGAATATTATTTTGAAAATTTTATCCATAGAAAGGTTTCATAGTCTTAAAAATGCCTTAAAATTTTCCGCTAAAATGTATGCTTTTGTGTCGAAATATTGAATATGCAAAAGAATACGATTACATTGTACGAGAACTCGCAAAATCGACTTCTCTTTAAACTGAACTTATCTCAAGAAAGAAGCCACTGTTTTCATTGAAAATCTCGGGAAATTTTCAAAGATCATGAGACCTACTTATAGTCAAAATCTCAGATCAAAATTTCATTTTCTTGATTTTCTGTAAAACGAAATGCTTCTTCGAAGGGACACTTTTTTTTTGGATGTTATTTGGTGATAACAGATCACTACGAAGTTGACGTGTTAAAGTCATAAGATAGCTAAATGTGATGATCATCAATATAAATCACAAAAATAAAACTTCACGCTATATTTATGAATAAACAAAATCGCAAAAACAAGTTTTAATTAAAAATTGCTCAAAAATTTTGGGCATGTCAATAACAATGTATTCACTCAAAAGCATTATAAAACAGTACGCTCAACCCACTAATCATTTGAGAAGCTCAATGATACAAGCTCTCTCTTTTCTGCTGGATCTGTGCATACTTAAACCAGAATTATCTTCGAAAAAAAAATGTATAGCAAGTATGTCGCAGCAAAACATTTTTTTTCAAATTTGTCAAATAAATGACTATTTAATAAGTAAAAGAATCTGATTTTTTTATCAGCATCAATAACAGATAAAATCATTTGCTGGAAAATTCAACAGACGATACATCTAAATAGCTTACAGCGTTCATCCAGTCTTCTTGAAGCTTGGAGAAAATGCTCATATTAACTTAAGATATCCAACAGATATCAAAGAATTAATTTTATTTATCAAGAAAGATTCTTGCAAATCTTTAACAACTCATTCAAAAGTCATCAGCATTGTAGCTATGATATTATATCACTACCCTGATGAGAAGAAAGTAATATACGGCCAAATGCAGCAGACTGCATTTGGAAATGCGACAATTAATTGTACTCAAATAGTAAAATCTACGTGATAATATTCCGTGTTTTTGCTTAATGATCGAATTCCATGTCGCATGCTATGCCATAGTACCGACGGTTTACCGGCAGTAGTGATTATAACTTTCAGATCGAACTATAAATGATCGTAGAGAAAATTTTTTACTCAAAAATCAAATTTTATTATTAAAAACAATTCAAAGTTATCGAGAAAAAAAAAACAATTTCATAATTTTTACCAATCGATAGCTCATAAAATTCACTACAAAAAAATGTTCTTATAGTTTTCAAATCTCATGCTTTTTTGCTATCTGCCATCATTCTACAAATGGCAATTCCAGTTGCTAATGGGAGAGGGGAAGGGGGTAAATGATCAAAGCATTATTTTCATTGAATGTTCGCATGGCGTAAGAAAAAAAAGGAATAGTACTTTTAACTACTGTTGATTACGTTTTTTTAATTGAAGTGAATTCCACAGTAGTTGTACGCTTTCGAACAGATCTTTCATTTCTAAGTTCTAAATGTTGACTTAACATGTAATTTCGCTTACAAAGTAATTTCTCGATATTGCTCATAGACATAGCTATCAAAACCTAAACCATGATATTTTGAGATTACTCGTAAAAAATAACTACGTTGTTCACGTTCCACCAATATTTTCCCAAAAAATATCGAAGAATCACCTTGTTAGCGAAATTCTAGTTCAAGTCAAGATCTAAAACTTAGCAAAAAAGATCTGATCAAATTTGGCGAACAACTGCAAAAATTATTCAATCCAAAAAAGAAATAGAAAAGTAAATAAAAGTACATGTGCCATCCTAACAAAAAAAAAACAAACTTGAAGCTTTATTTATTTACCTGGGATATTATAAAACAAATACTTGGATATTCTAAAATAGTTTTTAACAAGTCGAGTTTTAATTCAGGACTAATAGTAATTGAATTTGCTTCAACTGATGGTGTTTTATCAATAACAATATCGTATGACTGAGAAGAAGAAGAAGAAGAAGACAATTCGAATGAAGTACCATTAGAAGACAATCCAAATGAAGTACTATTTGAAGAAGACATTGGATTTGAATAAGAATCTAGAAAATGAAAAAAAAACATTAATAATTATAACCCAGCTCGTTTAAATGTGTGGTTCCAGTTGGTGAACTGATTTTGGAAGATAAATTATTAAGCAAGATTTTTATGTAGTTTTCCATATTCATTTACTCAATATCATCATAGATAAAATGTCGTCACAGCTATCAGAATTGAATCATTCTGCCTGACAAAAAATAGTGATTCTATTAGAGAAATTGTTAAGCAATAAATATCGTATTATTCGTAAATCATCATTAAAGAGAACACAAATAAAAAATATTTTGGAAATGATCGCCTTAGTGATGATAACATTTAAAAAACGCCGTGTGTCTTACGAGATGGATTACTCGTCTTATGTCTATCTTTTTCTAATCTTAATCGGATTTGTTTTTCTATTACATTAGCATTCATTAACTAATCAATATGTCTTAGCACGATTCTTACGGACTTGAAAGGCGTTAGTGCGAGCTTTTAGTCCATATACCTGGACATGTTTTGATGACCCTAGTTAATATAAAATGGCGCAAGTATAATCTTATTTGTTGCAATTGTTCTTTTAAAAACCGATTAAAATCATTTTGTTTCCTATATTAGAAAATGATCCTCGAGAAAAAAAATTGGCCTCGAACGGCTCATTTCGAACCTGAGATGACTGATGAATTTTATTAAAAACTCTCGAACTTGTATGAAATTGTTCGAAAACAGACAAACTGAATTTGCCGCTAAGAACAATAGCAGTTTTAGTCATGTTTGGCAGTTCTATCTTTCGTATAATTCATGAAGTCATTCTCATCTTCACCATAGTATTTTTAAATTTCAAAATTCAGTAATTATCGATAAGAATGTAAAATTCACTCGTGGACTAAAGAAAGTCGAAGAATACCACTGTATTGGATTACTAGAAAAGTGTATAAATTTCAACATTACAACTTGCTGCAAAGAGTCATCAAGTTTTTTTTACGGTAATTTCAATCGCTGTGTTGTCATTGGTGAGATAATCTCATTACATAAAAGTGGAGAGATCTATATCGCAAATATATTCTAAAACTAATGTGTTACAGAAGCCCTCTTCTATAATATTTCTTTATTCGAAATTTTCACATTCCATTTGATCGAGTCTAGCTATTTAGTATTTATTTTCTATCCTGTTTAGTCAAGTTCAGGTCTGTTTATATTATAAACATACGAGCGAAGGAGAGAGAATTAATACACACAGAGAGAAAGAAACAAAGAGAAGCGAAGGATACTTGTTTTATTTCGGCCTAGACTGTATATAATAATAAAGATGACGTTATATCATCTTGCAAATGTACTTAAATTTAAAGCTAAAGAAAAGAATCATATTTTATTGAAATTCTTACGGACGGTGAAGGAGAGAGAGAGGGAAAGAAAAGGAAAAAATATTGATTGACTTATACATACATAGCGGGTTGGATAATACGTACTAGAATGAAAAGACACACAAGAATACGACGAACCTAAGAACTAAATCAGAATAAACAAAAAAAAAAGAATTTATTATTCGAGTGCTTTCTATGGAAAATGCAAGAATACCCTATTGAAAATTTATGAATGATGTAAGCTAAATCTCTACGAATCAGTACAATGTATACTTTTAGTTTCTCCATATTCAGAGAAATTTCATCAGAAACTATTTAAAAAGATTTTAATAACTGTTTTGTTTTTGGACTATCAACATTTTCGATATCTCGTCAACAAGAAAAGCTGATTTAAAAAATAGGGATGTCACTTTGTATTTACTTTACTTGGTAAAGCTTAATAAAGTTACATTGATATCCCTATTTGAAAAACAAAAAGTAAACGAATGTCCTAAAAAGAGAGAAGCACTTTGTCACGTTTATTATGAGCCAATCATTACGACTACTTTGACTTGAATTAACTTGATTGTTTGAATTAGAAAAATTTATATGATTAATGTTTGTTAAAAGATTAAACCTATTATTAATTCATATCATCATTGCTTATAAAATAAACATAGCGTTTTTCTATTTACAAATAATGCCATAATTATTTAAACTTTCTTTCAAAAGATTGATCAATTGAATCCACGTCCATTATTTATGATTGATTAAAGAAAAAAATTCTTAAAGCTGAACGATCTAGATTGTTATGTCCTAATTTTACGTTGATGTGTATAGGGTTATTTTTAAGATGTTATTTAAGTTTTTCTAATCAGTTATATTTTGTTGAAATCAAAACAACAAACCTCTCTCCTTCAATTACACCAAAGTATATCTATCCATATCTTTTGTTACGAAATCCTAAAATGCGCAATTACACAAACATAGATGAAGGACAAAGATATACTTTCTTTCTTTCTAACTTTTTAAGATCAGAGAAAACATAGAGATGAAAAGGACGAACATATAAAAAAAAACACAGATTAACATACTAATGAAACATCTCTAGCAGAACAAAAGAAAAAAAAACATATATATATATATATGAAATGAATGAAAGAAAAAAAAAGAAAACATTTTCTATGGCACATCATATGTGCCATAACATTGATGTTCTAAAAAATTCAAACCCTTTTAGTATTCATCTATTTATTTTTATTATCGAAAAAAACAACAACAACAATGACAATAATATTTATTGAACTAAATCAATGATTTTCTTTTTTGTAGGATTTGTTGATGACATGCTGTTGAGCATGCACCCAATTGTTTATGCTATAAGAAAAAAAGCAAGTCTTAAATCTATAAAAGAAATAAAACATTGAACATACTTTTAGCAACAGCAAGAATAGTTGGTTGAAGAGCTTCTTTATTGTCTCCATGAGCTTTACTTATTCCTGCTTGTTCATCAGTTGTGTCTGGTTGACGAGCTTGTTGTGGTCGTCTAAATAAAAATTCAGATCAATATCTTTCTACTTTGTCTAAGTTTAAATTTTTCTTACCAAAGTGATGCATGAATTCGTCATGCTTCTCTTTTGATCGATTACGAACAACCTTGCTATGGATAGCACGTGATCAACAACAATGTAATTTATAATAACGTTTTGGTACAATATATCTTGGATAAACACTAGCTTCACTGATATCCTTAACAGCAGCTTGCTCACGAGGGAACATCTACGTCTGATCAATCGCTATTTAAATTCTAGTAATACCAATTTGTAGAGCTTGTTGAGTTATTAACTGACATAATAATCATTCGGGTCCACAACGCGGCTTTAGAGTAAATTTCTGATAACAAAAGTTTCCATTCATCTGTCCATATCCTATAGTGGTCCTATAGAGGCCCTATAAAGGCCCTCTATAGGATCACTACAGGGGGAGTCTATAGGAGCCTCTTTGAGATTCCTATGGTTCCTATAGAGTTCCTCCTATAGTGATCCTCTGGGGTCTTAATAGAGCCTCTATAGGACCACTATAGGGTATGGACAGATTAATAGAAACTTTGGTTATCATAAATTTACTCTAAAGCTGCGTTGTGGACCCGAATGATTATTATATCAGTTAATAACTCAACAAGCTCTACAAATTGGCATTACTAGAATTTAAATAGCGATTGATCAGTTGTAGGTGTTTCCTCGTCAGCAATGTTATGTATGAAAATTTTTTTTTGAGAGTCTTATCTTTTGGTACTAAGCCATGGCATTTCGTACAGTGAAATGAACGTACACAGCGACGTCCATGTTTGCTACTACCATTATTACGGCATTTTTTGTCATTTTATGATGTTAAATAAACTTATATCTATAAAAAAAATATAGATTTGATTAGAAGACATTCGATTAAATGCACTGAATTAAAAATTAAAAAAGAAATAGAAGTATGGACCATGTTTTGATTTAAGTAACCACATACTATCAATTACTTTTCCACCCTAAAACAAAAAAGTTAAATTTATTTTTCTATTAAACATATTGAAAATAGAAATAATCTGATCATCGAATACTTATTCCAAATATAAATACGTAGAATTATATACATTCATTCGTGTATAAACATAATCATTATTTTGAAATGCTATCCACGGTTCAGAAACACCAAATGGATCATGACGTTCAGTACAACCCTATAAAAATCGTTTCGTAAAAAAATCCGTCATCTCATTCGTTTTTACTTACCACTGATTCGATGACAATATGTACCGGAGCATTCGGATCTATATAAACACCTCGTGTACCATTATATACCTAAATAAATATTCCAAATTTGAATAGAAAAAAAAATAACTTCGGTTTCCTACAGTTTTATTATAAACTGGTTATAAACGTTCATAACTATGTTCATACACTCGAAATTCTACATCAACACCATATTATGCAAATCATTTGTCAAAATCATATGCTTGAATAAATGAAAGACCAAAACGAATCTATGAAAACAAAACATAGAATTGAATAGGTTATAAAACTTTTCTTTTATGGATTTATATAAGTGCATATTATATTTTCGATCCACTATCTCGATATATTTTTCTACATGAAATCCAAACTTACAAAAATATATTATTTTATGAGTCATGGTAATAGTCCATGGTTGTTTAGCAAGATTTTCAGGTAGATTAGTTTTCTAAATAAAACAGAAAAATAAAATAAAATTTTCAAAAATTTCATATAATTACTTTTAAATCTTCTTCAATCCATTTATATTGATTGATAATTTGTTTAAGGTCGCCCCCTTCCCCTCCAAAATCGATTTTCGTTATAGTGCGTGGGAATTTCACGAAACTTTCTAGAAATGTTCGGCTCTTAGTTGTACATATATATAAAAAAATTTTCAGAATGTTCGAAAGATTTCAAACAATCAAGGAGCAAAATAGTGCTTCCACGAAAACAAGGAATTTTTCAATACACTTCAAGCTACAGCGCCCGGGGTGGTCTCATTTGAAAGAGAACTCCTTGCTGCTTCGGATGAGGAAAAGGATTTTTTTTTTAATTTTAATTTTATTTCATTTTTGCAACTCTCGAAATCTTAAAGTTCTAAAACCCCTATCCACGGTTTTCTAGAAAACTTTTGGTTTTTTCAATATTAAGGGTCGAATACAAATTTCATTTCCCTCATTCGAAAGAGAATTCATCAATCTATCGAATAAAAAAAAACGGCAGTTCGATGAAACGAACTATAGTGAAAAAAAATTTGTTCGAAGTTTTGTTAGTTTTGCCAAAAATCTGTTTTGAGAAAAACGCGCGAATATTTTTTTCTTTGAATATTTTGTTGAATCATCTTCGTACATCAGAGAAAAACGTAGTTATATTGTATATCAACTAAAAGTCCATCAGATGTCTCATCGAATAGACGTACAACAGTACTCCATGTCATTGTTTGTCATTATGGACGATAAAAATAAGTGGGCCTATAAGTTCTCTATAGACTTAGGTACCATGTTCTTTTGCTAGAAAGCTTTAGAAGTTCATCGATTATTCCAAAGAAACCTTTCGAAATTGGAAGTAACTTTCATCAATTTCAAAAACGAGACACCTTAGAGGTAACATCCATATGTTTATCTCGAAAATTGAACTTTAAAAAAAAAAATCGATTTTCGGAGGGGACGGGGGGCGGCCTTAAGACCATAATCAAGATAACAATAAGATTCAGTTGAAAAACTAATTATATGTACAGAACCAACATTAAAACTAATAGAAAAAAAAAAACGTTCGATTTAAAATTACTATTACACAAAAAACCAACAATTATTACCTATAAGAATGATTAGCATCACTATCATATGTATCATCTGATGATGGCTTACTGATTTTTGCAAAATACTACGAAAAATTACTATAGAAAACAAAGAGAAGATTGAACATCAATAAAATAAACAAAAATTTATTTACTATGCATTTTTATGATTTTCTAGACAAGTCATAGATGCAGCAATAGATTGAATTGAATTTATATATTCATCACCAAAACATGCATTATCATCATTTATATCATATGTCGTATCACCTTGAATAAGAACAAGAAAACATTAAATTTTCGGACAATAAAAAAAAAACTACTGACGAACATGTAAACTTCGATCAAATTGACTTGACTGTGTTTCTTCTTGTAGATGTACCATTGATTGAACATTATCTTTATCCATGTCATCATAAATAGCTATGCAAACAATAAAATTGGAATTATTCCAGATAGCTGTAAACCAAAATAAAGGTGACCAATCATATGCTTCACTACTACAATGATAAGCTAAATTGAAATTAAAAAAAAAATTAATTAAATTTCTTAATCTGATCTTTTATTTCGTACAATATTTTTGATCAAGTATTAAATCACGCAAAACAATATGATGTATATATTCACGTCGTTTTTCTGAATCACTATCTTGAAAAATACTTCTAGAACCAGCTGTTCGTTTTATCAAATATATCAAGTTGACCATATTCAACAACAGAATCATTAACTTCATTTAATGTTATCTATGTAACAATCGTAAGTGTTGGATCGACTATAATAATAAGCAAAATAAATAATTGGTTTATTTATCCAGATATTTAACTTACGTTCATAGGATAGATGTATTTATTCTGGTTAAAATATGGTTCATTAAATTGAATAGATCTCGATAGAACACTATTGAAAATGTTTATAAATAGAACACAACTTAAAAGAGTCATGAATCATGATCGATTTGAACTTCATTTTCTTATTAAAAGTGTCGCCATGCAGCATTTCTAATAGAAATCTGAAACAGCAAGTCCAATAGCGTATCATTTGAACAAGCAAAGTATAAGATGACACGTGATTTTTTCAAACAAAATATCACAAAGATTTCGAGCTGTAGATTACTTAAATAAAATAATAAGAGAAAAACGTTTCAAATATTTATTACTATTACTATCAAGTTCAAATAAAAAATTACACAATGATAACTTTAACGACTAGAGCCCTTTATCAGGCCCAAAAAGAATTTTCAGATCCGGTCAAAGAAATATAAGTTATTCTATCAATTTTTGTGTTAATACATTTCTCAAATATGTATCCTGTAGGGAAATGTTTTTTCTCTTTCATCTCATATATTTAGGGAAGCACTACAATACTTAATAGCCAAAATATTTTAATAAAAAAAGTCCAAGTCCAAGTGTGGACTCGAACGTTGTTTATTAAAATATTTTGGCTATAATCTATTGTATTGCTTCTTTAAATACATGAGGTGAAAGAGAAAACATTTCCCTACAGGATACATATTTGAGAAATGTATTAACACAAAAATTGATAGAACAACTTATATTTCTTTGACGGAGTCCAGAATTTTTTTTTTTGGACCCGATGAAGGGCTCTATTAACAACTCCCATGGACTACGAATGGCGATCATATAAAATCGCACAAAATCTTCATACTTATTTCGAAAAAATCGAATTCAGATTTTTCGCCAAAGATTTTTTACTATAGGTTCAGGAGGGAAAGAATTAATGAATCTGAATCTATATAATTCTGTACAGAAGAAAAAAAAATCTATTACTTGGACTTCGTAAGCATTTGAATCTTATGGAAATTCACTCGAAATAGTTTAAATTTCTGTCACTGTTTCGTCAAGTATGCATGATGGAACAGAATCAAATGTAGATGATGATGAAGAAGAAGAACTTGATTATTGATTTTCTTACGAAAATAAAACATTCGTTGATGATTTTCATTTTTTATTTCAAAATTTAATCAACTTGATCTGTTTTCTGTTCAATTGATATAAAAAGAAAATAGACTTGACAAGTTACAAAAGATATTAAAAACATAATTCCATTCCTCTGTCAATTCTACTTTTTAAAATAAATAATTATAAAAAAAAAAAATAACGAGTATCGATCGCTAAAAAGCTGGTAAACAAAAAAGAAGACACCAACAATAATGAATGAACAAATAGATAGAAGACTTTTAACAAATCATATAATTAGTCTGAAGATGTCAGAATATAAAATATTTCTACTAATGAAATAATTAAAAAGTTCGAAGTTTTCATGCAATGAAAAGCAAAGTGTCAACAGTTCTCAGAAAGTGTACCATTGATACTTTGTTTTTTATCGGCAAAGCGTAAAATAGAGTGCCAATCGAAAATCAAAAGAATCTTGGCTACTTTGTTATCATTGTGGATCCTTGCTGTTAGAAATACAGACCACGAAGTACTATATCTAGAAATCATAACAATTAGTGCGTAGAGGTGAATAAAATGAAAAGAACCTTTAAATTTAACACCATAAGCCTAAAATTTGGGCCTATTGCAATAAAAACAATTAATAATCGGTAAGATGTCAACGACTGATGACTCATACTTTCTTTAGCAGATTTGAAAGTGACTGATGAACTTGAATTGAAGTCTTGGGTAATGAATATTTTTGGACGATAATACAGGGTGCGTAAAAATGTTTTTCCGGGGGCGTGGGATTACACTGTAATTTCAAACAGTATACATAACTAATTTTATACCAAATTAAAGCGCTTCGAAACTGGAGTTTTTTCATCCTAAATTGTAAGAGTTATCAAAACTTTTTGATGTCGAACTTAAGAAATTTTACGTTTTTTTTTGTTTTGGGGATAGAAAACTAAGACGTTAGTGATTCAAAAATGGATTTTAGTATTTTCTTTTGATATTTTTACATGATTCGATAGAGCTTGTCGAGCTCTACAAAACTGCATATATTTAAAAATTTTTAAGCTGGTTTTCTAAGATAAAAAAAACCACTTGGAAAATGCTAAAAAATGTTAAAAAACTCATTTTTTTTTCATTTGAGAGAAAAATACTCGATTTTTCAATAAAAATAGCTTTTT